CCTAATTGCCCTGGCTACACCCTCCAGTCAATGTTGGATAGAAGCGGTAGCTTTCTTTTTAACAATTTGAAATTATTTCAGACTTACAAAAAAGCTGTAAGAATAGTACAGAAAGCTCCCATGTACCCTTAACCCACATTCACCAAGAGTTCATATTTTGTTCCATTTGCTTTCTCATTCTCTCTCTCCCTCTCACTTGTGGGTGCATATGTGTTTATTACATATAAAAATAATATTTTTATCAACTATGTCTAAGTAAGCTATCAACTATGTCTAAGTAACTATGTCTGCATACAGCTTACCCCTTTGCCCCTAAATACTTCATTCTGTATTTCATAACCACAGCATAATTACTGTATAATTATTATAGACTCTTACATAACCAAAGCATAACTATCAACATCAGAAATGTTAATGTTAATACGATAATATTATTTTATCTAAGGTCTCATTCGAATTTCACCAATTGTCCTCATGATGTTTTTTCTGATCCAGGATCCAGTCTAGGATCCCACATGGCATTCGTTCTCATGTCTCTTTGGTTCCCTTTAATCTGGAACATTCCTCTGCTTTTCTTGGCCTTTCATGACATGGACATTTTTGAAGAGTGCAGGCCAGGTGTTTGGCAGAACGTCCTCAGGTTGGATTTGTCCGATGTTTTCTCAGGGTGCGATTTGGGCTGTGTGGTGTTGGGAGGCTACCAGGCCCTCTCTGTGCTTCTTATCAGGAGGCAAGTGTTATTGTTTTGTCCCTTCACTGTGATGTTAACTTTAAGCATTTGGTTAAGGTGGTGACTGCCAGTTTCTCAAGTGGACAGTTATTATTTTTCCCTTTGTAACTAAAAAGCAGCTTGTAGGAAGATACTTTGAAACTAGGTAAATATTCTGTTTTTACCAAAATGTTACCAGTCATTGATAATTCTTGCCTAAATCAATGATTACTCTGATGGTTACAAAACAGTGATTCTTCTCCCTCCATGATCCCTCCTACATTCATTCATTGGCATTCTCCTGTCAGGAACAGCTCCTCTGTTCATCTATCTATATATTCATTATCAGTGTGGACTCGGGGATGTGGATTTTATTCGATGGACTGTAATCCATTATTGGTTTTTTGTTTTGTTTTTGTTTTTTTGGCCGTGCCACTCATGGTATCTTAGTTCCCAGAAACAGGGATCGAACCCCCATCCCCTGCATTGGAAGATGGATTCTTAACCACTGAACCACCAGGGAAGTCCCTTGGGTAGCTTTTAAAAAAAATTTCCCTTTATGGGAGTTCCCTGGTGGCCTAGTGGTTAGGCTTTCACTGCCGTGGCCCGGGTTCAATCCCTGGTCGGGGAACCGAGATCCCACAAGCCAAGAAGAGCACGGCCAAAAACGAAAAATCTTTCCTTTTAATATAGCTATGTTATTCATTTGAAATACACTTGGGAGAATTTGTTTGTATTCCGTTTTAGCTTTTCCCCCCATCCTGTTGATTTATTTTTAGTATGTAAAATAGCAACATGTGTCCAGAAGTCAAAACTGCATCAGAAGAGACACATCCAGAGGAACATCACTCCCTCGCATCCCTATCGCCCGGTTCCCTCCGACCCCTTTAGGTAACCAGTTTCATTAGTTGCCTTCTTTTCCTGTTTTCTTTTAAAATGAGCTTTATTGGGGTATAATTTACAGACAATAAATGACCCCACTTTAAGGGTACAGTTCAATGAGTTTTGACAAATACATACCCCTTTTAACCACCCTCCAGCCAAGATACAGGCCATTTCCATCAGCCCAGAGGCCCCTCTGGGTTCCCTCCGCCCAGCCCCAGGTGGCTGCCCATCTGCTTGCTGTCACCATGAAGCTGGTGAGCATCTTTTCACTTGTTTTTTTACCGTTTTTAAAAAAAAATTATTGGCGTATAATTGATTTACAATGTTGTGTTGCTATTGCCATTCTTATTCATCTTTTGTGACATTGTGTATTCAAATCTTTTGCCTGTTTTTTTGTTCCTCATTCGGCCACATGCACAGGGCATGAAGGATCTTAGTCCCCTGACCGGGGATCGAACCTGTGCCCCCTAGCGGTGGAAGCACAGAGTCCTAACCACTGGACCACCAGGGAAGTCCCTTTTGCCCGTTTTTTAAAATTAGGATGTTTGTCTCATTTTTATTGACTTGCAGGAGTTTACGTGTGTGTGTGCGCGTGCACGCGTGCGCACGTGCATGCAAAACATATCCTGGATACGAGCCCTCTGTCATAAAAATATTTTCTTTTCTCCAAGCCAGTGGCTTGTCTTTTCATTTTCATAATAGTATCTTTTAAAGAGCAAAAGTTTGGATTTTTGATGAAGTCTAATTTATCAGTTTTTCCTTTTATGATTGTTTTTTGTCTCCTGTCTAAGAAAACTTTGCATAGACCAAGGTCACAAAGGTTTTCCCCCATGTTTTATTTATATATAGTTTTAGTTTTAGCTTTTACTTTTAGGTCTACAACCCATGTCAAGTTCATTTTTCTGTGGCTGCTGTAACAAAGTTCCACAAACTGAGTAGCGAAAACAATAGACATTTCTTCTCACCTTTTTTTCTTTTTTTTTTTTTTTTTTTTTGCGGTACGCGGGCCTCTCACTGTTGTGGCCTCTCCCGTTGCGGGGCACAGGCTCCGGACGCGCAGGCTCAGCGGCCATGGCTCACGGGCCCAGCCGCTCCGCGGCATGTGGGATCTTCCTGGACCGGGGCACAAACCCGTGTCCCCTGCATCGGCAGGCGGACTCTCAACCACTGCACCACCTGGGAAGCCCTCTTCTCACCTTTTAAGACGATAAAAATATTCTGGGAGTAGATAGAGGTGATGGTTGCACAACATTGCGAATATACTCATTGCCACTGAAATGCGCATTTTTAAATGGCTAATGGTTATTTTTATGTTATGTGAATTTTTCCTCAGCTGAAAGAAATTGAAAATAAAAAACAAAATCCCACAGTTAAGAGACCACATGGTCTCTAAGCCATCTCAGGTTGCATATGTCCCCCACCCCTTGAGGAGTGACAGTGCACTGTGCTCGAAGCCTGGGAACCAGGACTCTCACCTGGTGGTGGTGCTGCAAAATGGGAGGGGCCGGGGGGGGAGTCTGCCACTGTCTGGAAAATTAATTATGCCTTCCCTGGCCATCCAGTGGTTAGGACTTGGCACTTCCACTTCCGGGGCACGGGTTCCATCCCTGGCTGGGGAACTAAGATCCCGCAGGCTGCATGGCACGGCCAAAAAGTTTTAAAAAGATTTAAAACGGAGGAGGCTGTGTATGCACAGATCTGGAGAGACACGTAGGCTACTGGGGGATGCATTGTTAAGCAATAACCGCGGGTGCTTTGTTGGGGCAACTGGACCCGGAGGGTGAAGAGCTGGCCCCCGCCCCTCCCGCTCATTCTGGGCACTGCCTCTCTGACCTTTCCTCCCTTCCTCGCCTTCCCCTCTCTCCTTCCCTCCCTTCCACCCCACTCACCTCCAGCCTGCCTTCCTGTGTTGACACACCTGCTCTCCTCACCGCCTAGCCCACCCCCGGCAAACACTAGTCCCCAGAAACCTTGGTGAGCACTCACTGGCCTCGGTGACCTCGTGTAGTTCTAGAGCATCAGATAATAGTCCCAGCAGCCCCCAACTTTCCTCTGCGGCCCCCGGACCTCTCCCCTACACTCCACACTCACGTGAGTTCAAGGTCCCGAGGAGAGGGCCCCCAGCACGACAGTGCCCCTCCTGGCAGGAGTGCTGGCCTGCACTGGCCTCCAGGCAGGAAGTAGGGAGCCCAAGACTGCCAAGCAGAAAGCTGGCCCTTTCTCAGCCCTTTCTTAGGATAAGGGGCTCCTCCCTTGGGCCCCACCAACCATGGTGTCTTTTCCATCCCTCCAATGGCCACAGGGAAGGGGGTCTCCTCCCCTGACAGCCTCCCTGCCCCCTTGACCCTGACCCCAGACGTCTCCCTTCTTCCCAGCAACTTAGGGCTGTTTCCCTGACAGGACCCAAGATTGGGCCTCAAGGGGCTTGTTTTCCAGAAGCTGCCGGGCCAAAGGCGGCTCCCTCAAATCATGCAGTCTTCTGGTGGCTTCTCAAAGGGGGCAGGAGGGCGTTGGCGCAGGCCAGAGGATCCCCCCGCAGGGTTCCTGGAACCCAACAGAAAGCCTCATCGACTTCCTCAGAGTTGTTCCCCACATGCAGGACTTAGGGTGCCCAGGCCTATTCTACCCTCCTCCCTCCTCCAAGTGACCCTGGATGGCCCCGCCCCAGACACAGGGTAAGGAAGCCCAAGTGACAGCTCCTAGCTGCCAGATGGGCCTCCCCAGGCCACAGCTGAACAGGACAGAGGGCCCTGCCACAGAGAAGGGCACAAGAGCCTGTGCACCCAGCAAAGCCCACCACCAGCGTCAGATCTGCACACTGGCCAGGGAGGTGGGACCGGACCCAGAGCGGAGACGTTCCCTGCCGGCTGGGGTCTGTCCCCTGTCCCCTCTGCCAAGTCTCAGGCAAGGGGAATAAGGGGGGAGCAGGGGTGGTGGGCTTACCTTCCTCAGCCTCCTGGAGCTGGGCCCAGAGGAACCAGGGGAGCTGGCCGCCAAGGCGGGGCAGGAAGCAGGAGCACACATCCCCAAGACAAGTTCCCCCCTTGGGGCTGTGACAGCGACCAGCCCCAGGGCAGCCTGAGCAGAGCTGGCCGTGGGTCGGGTGGGCAAGCAGTGAGCACAGGGCATCCACAGCGGCCTTCCCATGTCCAGTCTGGGGAGAGATGCTGTGACAGGGATACAGGGTGGCTGGGAGCCACAGGCCAGCCGTGTCCCTCATGGAACGGGCAGCTAGGAGACACAAAGGAGCCCAAAGTCCTGGGCGGGAAGCACGGGGAGGAACGCCCTTCCTCCCCATGTAGGTGCCGCAGTGGGGACGAGCTGGGCCTGCTGAGGCCCCAGTGGATCCCTCCCACCCTCCCACCCCTGCCAAACACACGCTTTCTTGCAAGACACAGAGCAGAGATACTGTATAATCCCATTTATGTGGAACTTCCAGAACAGACAGATCCACACAGACAGAAAGTAAACTAGGGGATGCGAGGGGCTGGGGGTCAGCTGCTAATGGACGTGGGGCCTCCTTTCGGGGTGATTCACAACACTATGAATGTACTAAGTACCCCTGGATGGTACACTTTCAAATGGTCACACGGTGAATTTTATGCTATGTGAATTTTAGCTCTAGCTCTGACGTGTGTATCTCTGTCGTAAAAGAAAAAGGCGGTAAACACAGCACCAGGGGCAGGGGCTGAGCAGGCCCCGTCACGTCTCGGGAGCAGGGAGCCGGGCGCCTGGAATCCTGGGGCCGCAGGGAGGGCGCCGCAGGGAGCCGGAGGGGCTGGGGCTGCGCTGCTGCCACATCACCGGATCTGGTGCAGGACGAGGGGACAGAGAAGGAAAGGTGAGCTGAGCAGGGCCGGGCGGGCCTCCCGCCGGGCAGCCAGGCCAGCTCCCACCCAGTGCTCGAGGGCTTCTGTACCGTGTACTTGTCCCACTTCTTCTCAGGGTCGTAGGGCTCCCAGCGGCTGGCGGGGAAGATGTGCTTGTTCTTCTCGTACCAGCTCCGCAGCACCACCTTGCCCGCGTGCGACTGAGGACGGGAGAAGGGCCGGGCGCTGCGGCTCAGGGCTCAGGGCCACGTGGCTGGACCCCTCCTACCCGCGCAGTGCCCCTGCCCACCGTACCTCATCCTTCTCCACGGTGGCATCACTGAGCAGCCGCACGTCATCGTGAACGTCGAAATTGAAGAGGGGCCCTGCAGGGACAAGGAGACAAGAGGCCAGGCCCCGTCAGCTGCCGCCCCGTGACACGGGCAAGGGGCCGGGGGGCGGGGCCAGGCACACTCACCGCTCTTCCCTCGTGCCTTGGTGACGATGAAGTCATAGAAGCTGTGGTGCTACGAGCAGAGGGCAGGAAGGCGACGGCAGGTGAGCCACCTCGGCCGCCTGCAAGCCGGGTTCCAGCCCTGCCCACCCGAGCCGAAGACCCAGGGCAGGCGGGGCCCCCCTCGAAGCCCCCAGGTGTGCCACGGCCCGAGACCCTCCCCGCAGCCCCCAGAGAAGGGACTCACGTGGGGTATGATTAGGTCCTCCTTGATGTACATGAGCTGCTCCACCCCTGCCGACCTGAGGGAGAAAGGACCAGATAGCAGGTGGCCAAGGACACCGGGGCACCAGAGCTAGGAGGCAGAGGCCCGCGATGCTGGAAGGGGGATGGGAAAGGGGGCACGGCCCCCTTCTCAGGAGCACGGCGCCCGGCGTGCCGCGAGCAGCAGCCGCCACCTGGGGTCCCGAGCGCCAGGGCTGAGGCTGCAGACTCCGGTGCACCCCGCTGCACGCCCGCGCAGCCCCACCTGAGCTCGCTGAAGTCTTTGCGCAGGATCTCGAGGGCCTTCTGCAGGAACTGCTGCATCGTGTTGCCCTTTTTCATCTGTGAGTGACCCAAGAAGAGGCAAGAGGGAAACCGTGCGGGGAAACCAACCGAGGAGTTGGGAAGGGAGGACGGAAGCCCGGAACCCTCCTCCCTGCTCCCCCCGAACCCCCAGGGGCCACCCATACCAAGGGATTGACAGCTCCTTCCCACCGAGGCCAAAGGAGGCTGGGCCCGAGGGGCGAGGGGCACGGGGCACGGGGCGCAGGCCCCACAGCGTCACCTTGACTGTACGCCGGTGCCCAGAGCCATCCCAGTAACTGAAGGTGATCTCGATCTCCTCGCCTACAAAACAGAATTGCCGCTTGGCCTCCAGACCCCGGTGTCCCCACTCCCTGCCAGCTCCCTGGGGCTCGGGGCGCTGCCCAGAGCAGCGCTGGCAGGAGCGCGGGTGCGGCTCCCAGCCCCGGGCCACACACATCCCCCTCCGGGAGCCTCACTCTTGATCTTCTCCTGCTTGGCTTCCCACTCCTGCCGCAGCTCCTCCCGGAGCCGATTCTCCTCCTCCTGGAAGAGAAAGAGGCAAAGGAGGGAGGCCCAGGGCTGCCCAGGGGGGCACGCAGGGCCCCACTTCCTGAGCAAAAGCCTCTGCCAGGGTCGGGGTCAGGCCGCCTTTACCTCCCGGTCTCGGTCAGGCAAGAAGCTCGTGTCCACATCTGGGTTCTTCCCCAGTTTCCTCTTCTTTGTGGTGATCTCTGGAGCAAAAGGAAACACAAGGGTCAGTGGCACGATGGCCCTTGCCTCCGGGGCACCCCAGACCTTTGTCACCCAGGCCTCAGCTCAAATGCAACCTCCTTGGAGGCTTCTTGGACTGTCCTGGCCAGGACGCACAGCCCTCTTCACAGCACCTATGGAAACCTTTATGAGAGGTGCCCTTGCCAAGGGGCCTTCACCTTGGTCTCCACTGCCAGCAGCTGAACAGGAGGCTGGTACCAAATTGTTGCCCCATCAGCTGTGACCTGGAGTGCCTCGGGGGACTTAAGGCCTCAGTGCCGGTGCCAGAGGGAGAGAAGGTCCTTTGCACCAGAGGAGCAGGACATCCACATCTGACGTCTCATCCACTCTTCACGACAGCCTCAAAAGGTTACGACGTTCCTTTTTACCAGGAGACGAAACTGAAGCCCAAAGTCCTATGGTTGCTACTATCAGAACCCGTGGGGAGGAGGGAAGGAGAGGCCCCACTTGGGCTCAGGCCAGGCCTGACACCTTGGACTCTGCAACTCAGTTTCCCCAATTAGGACACAAATGAACGAGAACAGTGATTCTTTAACTTGCTGGTCTCGGCACCCTGGACAGTCTTACAAAGTCACCAAGGACCCCAGAGAGCTCTTGTCCCTGGGAGTTGTAACCGTTGACAGTCACCAAACTGCAAATTAAATCTGGGAAGTGCCAAAGACTCGAGAACACGAAAGCATGCATTCTATCAGCTGTCGGAGGGAGGGCGGCATGCCATGTCACGTGACCTCTGGAAAAATCCACTGCACGCTCATGAAAGAACAAGAGTGCAAAAGGCCAAGAACGTCTTAGCACAATTATGAAAATGGTTTTGACCTCGCAGACCTCTCGAAAGGGTCTCGGAGGCCCCCAGGGGTCCCTGGAGCACTCTTTGAGAACCGCCGACCTAGAAGACAAGCCCATACTCCAGGGCAGGGGTTCCAGCGCCTGGACAAGTTACAAAAATTCCACGCCAGCTACCCATGGCCGGGCCCCGGAAACCAAACCTCCAGGGGGAGGGAAGCACCCTCAAAGCCCCAGTGACACACAGAGAGGTTGAAAGCCTCCCCCCAGACCCGTGCTGTCCCAAAGGTGGCCTCTGCCACACAGATGGGCAGCTCACACCAAATGGAACTGACCTGCCCGTGGGAATATTTTAGATACCAAATATTACTAGTTACTGTTACTAAACAGTAGTGAGACTACCCCAGGGGTTTCCCCCCGGGGGGCTGGCAGCCTCTTCCTCCTGACAGCACTGGCCGCTCCCCTCAAAGCTGTCCCAGTGCCATCCCCTGCCGTGGTTCCCCAACACTGATCCCAGGCCACCACATCCTGGCCATCACGCTTTCTAACCCAGGCCAGGCCTGTGCTGCATCCTCCCCGGTCCTCAAATGCGTCCACTTCTGCCCGCTCTGCTTCTGGGCACACTCATCTCTTGACTCTGCATGCTTCTCACCCGCCTCTCTCTGGGTGCTAATGAGATTCCCCTCACCCTGAAGGCCCAACTCAATTTTCCCCCCTCCCTTGGCCCCAGCGAGACACACGCTTCCCTGTGTGTCTCCCACCAGGACAGGGACGGCACCCGGCTTCTGTCCGTCTGCCTCGGCCCTGGCCCGGCCGTGAGCGGGTGCCCAGCACACAGGGGCCCCATGGTGACCTCAGCCTTCCCGAGTCGTTCCTGTGGCCCCTTGTTCCCTTGGGCAAGTCCTGCACTGTCCAGTGAGCAGCCGCTTAGTTTCTGCGGTTGGGTCAATTTACACTGAAATTATTCAAACAGAATTAAGTTTGGTGCCCAGCCACACGAGCCCCACACAGCTGCCCAGGGACCACACAGCTGGTTCCCACTCAATCGGCCACCAAAAGCGAGCCCCCCACTCAACTTTGCCACGGTGAAGGCTTGGCCCTTTCCCTCCTGCCCCAATTTGTGAGGTCCGGGACCCCGAATGCGGCGGGCAGTCAAGGCTGTTGGCAGAGGTGCTTCTTCACTTGCGAGCTGGATGCCAGGACAGAGCTCTGCCAGCGGGACCTGCCCCCACCTTCCCTCTCCAGCTCGTCGTCGTCCATGGTCGCCTCCTCCTCCTCGTCGCCTGCCTCGTCCTCTTCCTCCAGGGTGAAGGACAGGCTGGAGATCTTCCGCTTGGCCTCCTTCTTGCGCTCCTTCTCTCGCAGCTTCTCCAGCTTCCTGCCGAGGCATGGGTGGCCGTCACGCACGTTCCCACCCCCGAGGCCCCTTCCCCGACCCAGAGCCACCTGTGTGCTCAGTGGGGGTCCCACTCAGCGCAGGCCCAGAGGAGTCCTACTGGCCCGGGGCACTTCAAGTTCACGGGCAGGCAGGGCTCTGATGATGAAAAAGGGTCCCCCCTCCCCTTCCACGTGCAGGACCAGCCTGACCCGCCCCCAAGCACGAGCTCCATCCAGAGGGGAAGGCCGCTGGCTGGGAGGAGACGACCCACAGCTGCAGCTCCTTCGACTGCTCCTTCTTGGCCAGCTGCTTCTCCCGCTCCTTCACCAGGGCCTCCTGCTTAGCCTTCATGTCGTTCAGGGTCACAAGACCTGCGAGGTGAGGAGACGCGGGGGCAAGAGGCGGTCACCCAGAGTCAGCCATGCAGCCGGCCTCAGCCCGGGAGTGGGGACACAAGCACTTTGCTCACCCACAGTGCTGGACTTGAGCTCCGCCTCCACGGCGTCATAGTGCGCAGAGAACTTCTTGTCAATGTTGGATTTCATTATGTTCTCCTGTCCGGGAGGGAAAGCAGCAGTGAGGGCACCTGCCACCCCACCATGCAAGCGGGGACCTGGGTTCTAGTCCCAGGTGTGTCCCTAGACTCACTATGATGTGACCTTGGGAAAGACATGTCCCCTTCCCTTGACAGATGGAAGGTTCCACAGGGCTGTGAGAGGCTCTTCCAGTGCCGAGGGAACCAAGTGGGGTCGTTTCCCCGTGCCATCTGTGCTGCTCCGGCCCCTCCACAGGTCCCACTGGGAACCAGAGCTCACTCAGTGGTTGGTGTTCTTCACGCCCAGCTCTTAGGCTGAAGTTCTGGAGACCCAAGGCCAGGAGTGCCAGGAGGGAGCAGAGAGTGGCTGGCGGCCCGGTCCCTCACCGAGCAATGCTGCTCCCTCCTGCCCCAGATGTTGCCAACAGCTTCCCACGAGGCCTCCTCACTCCAGCCCAGTCCCATCCCACTTGGTACCAAGTAGGTCCCTCTCTGGCCAGCAGCCTCCACAGGTGGCGGCCAGCAGAGAAATGTACCTCCGTCCCGCCACTGAGTCCGCACTGCGACAGTGGGGCTGGGGCACAAGTGTAAACCGAGGCAGCACCGGGCCTCAGCATGCAGCCACTTCCTTGGGCCCGGCTGCCACAGTACCTAAGGCCTGCCCTCCCCTTGCGCCGAGGCCCTGCTCTTGACTCTCCCCCAAAGGCCTAAGTGGAGGGCTCCTTCCTTCCTGACGGCCCACTGCCATTGGCCACTCACTGAAGCCCTTAGTGAACCGCGAGCCCCCCAGACCTTCCTGCCTGCCTCTGTCCCATGAAAAGGGCTCCAGAATGAGTCCGGTGGATTGGCTGGGGCCCACCCTTCCTGATATCCATTGGATCTGGGCCTGACTCTCAGGGCTGAAGGGCCAGAGAAAGAATGCTCTGTGCCCTCGAGGATCGCCCCAATGCCAAAAATGTAACCATTGAGTGTGGCTCCTTCCTGCTGGAGGCTTGTCACAGCCCACCTCCTCTCAGCCTTCTGCGCCCATTTTACACATGAACAGACTGTCGCCGGCTCATTTCCGCCCCTTGCTAGAGATCGGCGAGCAAGGGTCCCACCCCCACTCGCCGCCCGCGCTCTGCTCCCGCTCCCCGGGGCCCCGCACGACCCCGGGCGGCGGGAGCAGAGCACGGGCGGCGGGCCGCGCGCATGCGCCGAGGCGCCCCGGCCCAGCCCGCACCTCCGCGATTCTCTGCTTCATCTGCTCCATCTGCTCGCGCTGCTTCTCCCGCTTCTTCATCAGGTGCATGGCGCGGCCCGCCTCGCTCGCGGCACCCTTGTACTGAGCCATGGCGGCGGCGACAGCGACAGCGGTCCGGCCGAGTCTCACGGGCGGCAACGGCTGTGGAGTCGGCCGTGCAGTCAACTGACCCCAGCGCCGTGACGTCGCTACCGGGGAACTCCCTGCCACCGCGCCCCGCCCCCGGCACGTGACTGCGTGCCGCCCAGCTCCGCCCCGCTAGCGGCCCCGCCCCGCCGGCCGCCGGAAGCTGGACGCCGCGGTCCCTCTCTTTATAGGTTCCCCATCAGTTCCTCAACAATAACCGCCGGTACGAGGCTGGGTTCCCAGTCCTGCTTCCCTCTGTTGACCCCAAGGCTGGGCCCCCGGGCCCCTCACTTCCTCGATGTTGATCTCAGTCTAAGGGCAGATCCCCATCCCCTCGCTGACTCCCTGCCTGAGAGCGTCCTGGTTCCCCCTGCTTCCTTGGCTTTGACTCCCCTCCCAAGACTGGGCCCCAGCCCCGCGGTTCCCCAGGCCATGAGGCTGGGCCTGCGCTTCTGCTTCCTCCACCTCAGCCCCCACCCCAGGCCAGACCCCTCTCCCTCGATTCCTCTCACATTGACCCCTTGGGCGGCGTGATGTGACCTGTTTCCTTCCTGATGGAGTCACCTCTTACAGCCATCAGGAGCAAAGCCAAACCCCACGCAGTCCCAAGCCTGGGTAGGAAAGGAGGACAGCCCAGGGAGCCAAGGCCCTCTCCAGATGCAGCTTTGGGGAAATAAAACGAACGATCTGGGCTCAGGTTTCAACACAGTTTTATTGGGAGGTTTTGTTTTCTGTGAAATACACTAGAGGTTGGGGAAGGGGACACATTCACTTTGCAAGATAAGGGTTTCCCACCACTAAGGGGAAGGAATAGGGCAGGGCACACGGGGTTTGGATCCATTTTCCCACCTCCTTCTGCTTTGCTCACATGTCTTTTCTCTCTCAGCAAGTACCAGCAGACACAAAGACAAGAAACAAAAACCAAATCAACCTCCAATGGGGCCACACCCAAGCCCTCTTCCTTCCCAGGCTGCACCAGGGTCGCCAGGGTTAGGAAGGCCAGGCCAGGGTAGCTGCTCCGCAGCCCCAGGCCGCACCGTGAGGCTGCAGGGAACAGTGCTCCCTTCTCACACAGGGTGGGCCGAAGTTAATAAATTAGAATAAATTACGGGGGTGGGGTAGGGAAAGGACTGCAACTTTGTGCTGGGAGGGCCCCTTCTCTCCAACACACAAGAGCTGGTGGGGGGAGGCAGGGGGCATCTCCAAAGGCCACTAGAGCAGGGGTAAGAGCGGTGGGGGCAGAAGTCAGCTTTTCCTCCACGTTCCTCCCGAACAGAGCAGAAGAATTAGGGGTGGGGGGAGAGACACACACAAGGAGAGGAACCCCCTTCTCCCAGGATAAGGAAGGGCCAAGAAAGAGGATACTAACCAACCCCCCCCCCCCCCCCCCGTCTCCCAAACCATCACTAAGGTTAAGGATTTGGTCAGTGAATCAATGAGGTGGATGACAGGAATGTGGTGGGGGAAGCAGAAGATGCTGGAAACGGGGGTGCCCAGCCACGCCCATCTCCCCAGCCCTTGAGGAGAACAGGCTCAGGTTGGGGCAGAGGGTACCAGGGGCTGGGGCCGGGGTCGGCAATCACTGGTCAGCTTCTCCAAAGACATCGTTCTGTTTGCGCTTCATGTTCTCAAAGTCAAAAGCGGAGCCTGCCATGCGCTTGTAGATGTCTTTGATGTCGTTGCAGGTTGTCTCAAAGTGTGTAGTGGCATCATAGGAGCAGGAACAGAACACCTGGAAACAGCCAGCGCCCGGGGCCTGAGGTGAGCTGGGCAGGGGCCCTGGGCGGGCAGCCAGGAGCCGGGGCCGGGACAGGCTGCTTACCTGGCTCTCAGAACCATCGTCGATGGGCTCGTACAAGTCACTGATGGCCACAAACCTGATGGGCAGATGGAAGGGACGAGACAGGTCTCACAACCAGCCTTGCCCTCCCTGATGCCCACCCTCCGGCTCCTTGGCGCCCTTCCCCCCCCAGCTTCCGCCCCAGCCCCCCAGCCCCTCACTTCTGGTCAATGGGCTCCAGCAGCTCCAGGGCCGGCTCAACCTCCTTTTCGGGCTCTGCGGTCTCCACCGTGGTGCTGGCGATGGCAATGTACTTGCCCTGCGCGGCCACATTGTGTGCATAGGAGATCATGCACACGTAGATGTCTGTCCGCAGGAAGGGCTCGGTTAACACGGGCATGTGGGGGGCCAAGCTCAATTTTGGCCCGCCCACCCTCCCCAGCCCTGCAGAGCGGGCAGCATCCAAGCTGCCACCCTCACGGAGGAGAAGAGACCAAGCCAGCCAATGCCTTGGACCTCAGGTCATGGGGACTGCAGTGTGGGTCCCTGTTCTCCCATGGAGGGGTCTGGCAGGGAGCCAGCCCCCAGGCTGAGCCACACCGGAGAGAACACATGACTTCCTCCAGTCCTACCTGACTTCCTGTTGACCTGGTTCTGGGGGATGATGATTTGGCAGGAGTTGGCATCATTGGTGTTCTTGATGGGGTGGCTGAGGATACAGATGATACGGATAACCTGGCCAGCCTTCCGCACGCGGTCTGGGACGTAGCTGGGGTCACAGATCAGCTGCTTGCAGCGGGCCACCTGTGAAAACACCAAAAGGCCTTGTCCCTATCTAATCACACCCCTCGGGGTTTCAGGGCCTGGACTCACGACGAGGGCTGGCAGCTCCGGCAGGCAGGACACTCCCACAACATGCAGCTTCCTCCTGTACCTCGGGGAGGGGGGCCCTGATACGCAGACGTCTGCCAACAAGATCGGCTACATAGTCTTTTTCTGGAGCCCCGGTCCCCAGCCCGAGGCCCTCAGAGCCGAGCAGCAGCGGACCCAGCAGAGCCAGGGTCACTGGGAAGAGCACCTCTAAGGAGGGGGCGAACCCCGCCCAGACCAGCGTGCCTGCGCGGCGGGGACGGCTCACCTCTCCCTCGGACTTCACGCCCACCACCTTGCCGTTCTCCATGATGATGTCATCCACGGGTTTGTTCAGCATGTAGGTCCCCCCGTAGATGGCACTCAACCTGTGGTGGGGAGAGTGATGGTGAGGGCGCCCTCCCAGGACAAACGGGGACCAGTGATACTGCGCCACCTGCCCCTACCAGCACGAGGGTGCAGAGAAGGCGGCCCCAGGCAGGCAGAGCTCAGGAGACCTGGCGGCCCTTCCCAACTCTGTCGCAGCCACACACTCAGGACTGAACCTGGAGTGCTCCTTCCTCTCCGGAGCTTATCGCCAGAATGCTCGGCGGAGGGCTAGCGTGAGGGTGGCTCCTCACGGAAATGTTCTGGGAAACAGAACGAAGGGCTCTGGAGAATCCGACTCGAGGTTTCCAGGCCCCGTGCCCAGTCCTAGCGCTGCCTGACTCAGGCCAGGAGCCAAGCAAGCCCCCATCTGTGGTTCTTCAACTCTGAACGTCAATACCCCACTGTGGTGTCACCACCCAAGGATGGAGTGAAATGAACTAGGACCACAGTGGGAAAGTACAAAATGCTGTGGAGGTACCCAAGGGGGCCGTTTCCATCGCTGGCCTCAGTCCTTCTTGGGACCGCCAACCGACCGAAGCCACGCCCTTACCTTGCAAAGCCCTGGGGCAGCTCGCCAAGGCCGTAGAGTGGGTACAGATACGGGCTCTTGCCATACCGGGCCAGGGACTCGCTGTACAACTTGATGCGGTTGATGGTCTCAAGACAGGGCTGGTCCAGGTAGCTGGGGGGATGGGGTCAGAAGAGGCTCCAACAGCAGGACCCCCAGTTCACCCCACCCAGGCACCAGGCCAGCCTTCCCACCACCCTCAATGGCCTGGGGAAGCCCACGGGTCAACTGTAGGGAAGGGACAGAAAAGGCGACAGGCAAGCGAGCACGAGGCTGAGTACGAGAGGCGTGGGCCAAGAGAACAGCAGGCAGGAGCAGGTAGGGCAGGGTGAGGGCCGGATGAGGGGTGGTCTGCCATGCCAGTTTCCCCTCACTCATCGGTGCGGTAGAGCGCCAGGGCATGGCCAGTGAAGTCGATGACATCCTGGCCCAAGTCAAACTTCCGGTAGACGTCACGCATGCTGGTGTTCTGGGGGTCAACGCCCTCGAAGGTCTTGGCGTCATTCTCATCAAAGTTTGCCACAAACACCAGGAACTTACGGAAGCGCCGTTTCTCAAACATGCCCATCAGATCTGCGCGGGCAACGTGAAAACAATCATTGCACCACAGACAATGAAACTCTCCATCCCACCAAGGAGGCGGAGCAAGCGCGCACCCTGGCTCCCAGCTGAGTTCTCTTGCTGACCCCCACATGACCTCAGATGAACCCCTCTGTGCTTCTTGGCCTCAGTTTCCCCATATGTACGAAGAATGAGTCGGGCTGGACGGCTCTGAGGGCCCTCCCGGCTCCGACACTTGGGGACGTTTCACTAATCAGGTGAAGCCCCTGTCAAAACCTGAAGTCTGTCAAGGACTCCACATCCCTTCCGCACGCGGACTCCCCTCCTGGCAACCAGCGGGAGGCATGGCCCAGGGCACAGAGGGGTGACAGAGCAAGGGGCTTCCGGTGCGGAGTGAGGAACGTGACCTTGGGCAAGGGGTGCCCTGCTCTGGACAGCTGCCCCGCCCCACGATTCCCCGGCTCAGGGGACCCACACTCACTAGAAGCCAAGGCTTCAGTCTCGGTGGATGGTACTTTGTAGATCTTGCCCCCCTTGTAGACAAAGCTGCCCTCCACCACCTTGAAGTCCAGGTAGCGCGTCACCTCTGTATACAGCAGCATCTTCACCAGCTGTCCTGCGGGGTGGTGTGGGCGAGGCAAGAGTCAGCGTGGCTCACTCCAGAAGCTCCACCTGGTCTGGCTGCCCTTCTCTGGAGTCTGACCCTCCTCTGGTCATCCCAATCACCCCCCCCATAATACCTCCTTCATCTCCCTCACCGTTGGCCATGAGGAATTTGGGGATCAAGTCAACGTTCCAGTCTCGGCCCCGGCCCATCGTCTCAGGGGGCCCCTCCAGCAACTGGAAACGCTTATACAGCTGCAGGCAGAAGAGAGAGACCGGGATGCACCTCAAGGACCCCC